TGAACAGCGGCGGCGGTGGGGAGCAGGGCCCAGGTGGCGGTACTGGCGGTGGTGTTGAAGTTTTCCGGTACAACACGGTGGCCAAGCGCTGGAGTCAGTGCGCCAGCCTGCGGCCCAGCGGCGGCCCCCTCCAGCCCTTCCGCTGCGCCCCCTTGGGCAACACCATCTACTGCGTCAACCGGACCGGCACCCTCCGCTTCAGCCTAGCCCAGGACGGCGAGGTGGAAGCGGATGGCGGGCTCAAGGGCACCTTCGACAGGGAGCTGCTTAAAGCTCCCTTGGATGCCAAGGGTGTCCTCCTACCCTTTGTGCTCACCCTGCCCGAGAGGCTGGACAAAGCGGGGGAGCCCCCTTGGGCAACACCATCTACTGCGTCAACCGGACCGGCACCCTCCGCTTCAGCCTAGCCCAGGACGGCGAGGTGGAAGCGGATGGCGGGCTCAAGGGCACCTTCGACAGGGAGCTGCTTAAAGCTCCCTTGGATGCCAAGGGTGTCCTCCTACCCTTTGTGCTCACCCTGCCCGAGAGGCTGGACAAAGCGGGGGACCAGGAGGGCTCCCTCCCGCTGTGAGGTGGCCAGCCTGGCTCTGGCCTCCCGAGTGGGGAGCTGGGTTGCAGCTGTGGGGGACCCACAAACTCCCCCCTGCAGAGGGGACCCTCTCTGGCATGTCTGCAGGGAGAAGGGGCTCCCCCTTTCCTCCTCTCTGCTCCCAAGATGTTGAGCTGGAGCCACTTGGTTGTAACTCGGTTGTAACTCTTCTCGTGTTTGCTGTGCTTTGTGTGAAAAGCCAAGCACATGAAAGGAAAAGCTGCTATAAAAGATAATCTCTGGATTATGTTTGTGCCAAGTCCCAATCTGAGAAAAACTTTTTTACACCTGGATTTCTAAAAAATTCCTGACAACAGTGTCATAATGGGATGTTACTGTTAGTGTTGGTTGCGTGTTTACACGTAGTTGCAATCTGGGCTGGAGCCTTTTCTGCCATTTGTTTTCTTTCTCTCCGGGATGATACCGAGGGATAAACACTGCTGGCAATGTAGCTTAGCTGCATTTGTTTTTATATTAAACCAACTATTTCCTGTGTTAGAAAAATATAGGACGATCATCTCCATCACAGCCTTTCATTTCTGGTGCAATAGATGGTTTAAGGAAGACATGGCACTGTGTGGTCCCAGGAATTTCAACCACAACTGATTTAACAGATACCAGACTTAACGTTTTAAGTAACAGAAATGTGTGCCACATGTTTGTATTTGGAATACAAAAAGAAAAAGAAAAAGGCAAGTTACCTTTTTAAATTGTGGCATATTATAGCAGATATGAAATGTTGATATGTTCTTTATTTGAAAAAGGCAATGGTTTCTGTATGAAAAGACACCGTTTTATTACCTTTTTTATCAGAGATTTTAATTTATAACAAAAATGAACTGAAGCTGTTCAGACTGCAACCGATTGACATGACCATGTATGCCACTAGAGTTGGGGGAAATATTTTATACTTCAGCTGCTCTTAAATTAACTGCAGGTCAAAGAAAATTAACCTAAACCAAATGTAAATTCTTTGAAACTGACTGCAGACAGCTTAAAAGTTTCACTGTATGTTCAGTATCCTGTGGCAAGAGGCTTTTTCAACTTAATGTGAGACCATCAAAGGAGGACATGGAAAATAGGAATGCGCTACACATGTTGATTATATTGTGCACTAGCATGATGTTATTTCCCTATCTTTTGATTGAGAGACTGTTTTATTTATTTTGATCTAATGATTGCTGTAATCAATAAGTCCTTATTAATTGCAGTATGTGCTGATAGAGAATGCTGTCATTCGGATTCTGAACTGCCCGAGAGCGCTGTTTGTGGAGCAGCATCTTAACGAGATGAAACCATACAAAGCTTCTTCCTGCCCGTGGAAAGTTGGAGCATACTTTTTGTCATGTTACTCAAAACTGGAAAAGTGTAAACTGTCTACACAGACAGACTATATTGAAAAGGGCACATGCATTTATTTTATACATTTTATATAAAAAAATCAATAGGCAAGGCAAATGTTTTAGCTTTACAGTAAATCACTGAGAAACCTTTTCTGAAAAACAGAACCAGTGTTTTTGCTATTGGTAATTCAGCCTGGAACTGGTGTGGACCGTGGAAGGGAATTGTTTATACTCAAAGCTCTAGTATAGATTCATATTTTAGACAGATATAGGGACCTTACATCAAAGAAAGCAGATCTTTTTATGTTTTATTAAGATGTTTCTGTTAAACAGGACATTAGCATTCTTACATGTTATTGCTAGTTCCAAAGGAAGGCAGCAGGCTCTGTCCTAAGAGACACCATCTTCACAAAAGAGAATACTGAAGTTTATAGATACTTCTTTCCTTCACTTTCATGTTGGGTTTTTTTTTCCTTTTTTTTTTTTTTTCCTTTTCTCCATCTGTCTTGCACAAGGTTTTAGTGCAGCTGATCTGATTAGCCATCCTGTAGAAAACACTGGTCCAGTTCTAAAAGTTCTCAGCCAAGTGAGCCTATTCCCTAGTGAGCTAATTAAAGCATCACCCAGGTAGGAGCTGTAGCCCTGCAGAGCGTGACGCTTATCTTAGCCTCAGTACAGCTTGGTGCAGTGGAATTTAATACCACAGATGGCAGGTTCGTTAGCGATTCGCAAAGAAATTCTTTTTTTTTCACTGAATCGTGGACTTAATTCTCAGACAAGAATCCTTGGAAATGTTGACTCTGAATTAAGTTACAGCATTGTAGCTTGAGCAGGAAAGAAAAATGATGTATTTGCCTTCAGCATCATTTTTATGTTAACTGTAGAAAGTATTTCAAGCTGTGTAGTGACACACTTCGGTGCATACTTAAACTAAAGACATAAGCGCTAGGCCAGATTTTGAGTTAGTAGAGTCACCAGGAACACACAAGGAAATGTCTGTTTTATCTTACAATACAGTACAATTTCATAGTTATGTACTATAGTTCTTATACTACAGCATAGTGAGGAATCAAGCCAACTTTTGCATTCCTATTAATTAAGCATTAATTAAGCATTTTCATTCTTGCTAATGCATGAAAATACTGCTAAATGAATTTTGGGAAGTCTCCATGATTTACGTTGTGAAAATACGCCACAGACTTTCAGGAAAGAATGAAACTTAGCCTTTCTTCCAATATTTGTTGCCGTACATGATGAAGAAATATATTTGGATATAATTTTTGCAGTAATAAGTATTCTATGAACCTGCAGTGGTTTGTATTTTTGTTAGCTCCTATTGTTAGAAAAGGTTGAATCAAGTGCTTACCTGCTTTCACTGTTTACACAGTGTAAGTGAAGGCAGAGTCTGGTCTTCATTAGTAGCTGTCTGTCAAGCCTGTTTCCTTTGTACATTCTTTGCATAATCACAGCCTGATGATTGACAACAGAGGCATGTTTCTAGCCAGACTTCCTACTTTGTGGCCTCTGTTTCCTCCCTGGCGAGCCTGAGGCAGGTTTGCTGAGAATTGTTTTTTCCCCCAGTTACATCTTCAGTGTATCCAAAAAAACCCCACCAAACTTGGGTACTAAAACCAGAATTTTGGTAGACTTCAGGCATTGAAGACCAAAATTGTCATCCCAGAACTCTCCAGTTTAACTTAAACTGAGCAACCACTGTCCCTTTGACGTGTGGAGGGTGCTGAGCAGCACCTCTCCACCCATTCAGAACTGCTCACCTACCTAGCTACCGCCTCAACTTCTTTGAAACTAGATGATATGATACCCAGAAGCCACTGGTGTAATATGGTTTTATGGTACAAACTAAAGGGCCAGGCCACCCTCAAACTGTGTTTGCATATGTTTTGCTTTTAAAACAGAGCTATTTTATTTAATAGCCTGAAGGCTACTGTATTTGCATGGGAACATGGAGAGACATGTTCGCTTTCTTAGCTTGCAAAGGATTCAGTCCACATCTCCCACTGCCTGATTCGCAATGGATTGAAGGACCTCTTGGAGCTAATCCCTGATCTCTAAATATTTATGCATTTTGTATTATACATTAATTGGCTAAAAATCTCAGAAATGATCCAGATAGGTAAATTCAAACCCCCATCCTCACTGAGTGTTCTGAGACTAGCTGAAGACACATAGTCCTCTCTGCTGTCTTCTCCGTCAATCTCATAGTCCCCTTCTCCCACTTTCAATAGGATGTGCAGGAGATAATTTTTCTGCTTCCTCCTCCCTAGCGTACTCCTGTTTTCAGGGTCATCTGCTAGAGGACGTAGGCTTGAATTCCCGTAAGCTGAGTAAGGACTGAACTTGGGCCTCCCACTTCATGTGTGTGTGTTCTCAAATCTAGATGACTATTTAGAAGAAGAGTATCGGGACCACCTCCTACAGCTCTTTTTCAGGGATGAACCTCATGCAAATCCTCCAAAAACAGGCATAGGCTCCTGCACCTCAAGTTCTGGGTAGAGTCCAGGCTCCAGCTCCTGGATGGGTAATTCAGGACACATTTAGTACATGTTGGTGCAATTGGGCAAGTTTTCTTCCATGGAAAGCTTTTCCAGACAGGCTCTGTATTTTGGGCTGCCAGTCTGAGGTGAGGGACTCCATGCACTGTACTAGGAGGCCAAGCAGGTAATTTGGATTCCTCTCAGGGGTGACGCCTTGGCGAAGAGGCATTGCAGTGTCTAACATGGAAATGCCTGAAGCCTTCATTGCATCTAAAACTAAATCCCTGCTTTAATAAAGAAACAAGCCTTCTTAGCAAATGCTAATAACAGATGGAACTTTACTATTTCCATCTATTAACTGGTTCTGTAAAAAGAATCTTAATTGCAGCAAAGGCATTTGTACAAATTCTGTTTACACTTAGAAACTAAGTCAAAGGAATAATTGGCAAAAGAATAACCCTATTTGATCAAAACAGGCACTGTTAAGCAACATGGGAAGGATGCTAATCATACCCTATTAATGAATAAAAATTGTGCACTAGCTGATGTGAATTCTGTCCACAAAAAAATTTCTTTGTAAATAAGTACCTGGTAAAATTAAAAGTGATAAAAGAATAAATTATTCACATGAAAGCTGTAACTCTCCTGTGCTGTTTGATTGGCTCTCAGAGTGTTGTATCCTGATTATCGCTATTCATGAGTGACCTATTGCTTTTCCTGCTTTACGGTATCCATTCCATTGACTGCTCCATGGATGTGTTACCCTTCATTATCACAAAGCTTCACAGTGGTACTGGGGTGATTTGCTTTGTGTCTGGACTGACGTGTAGTGCTTTCCACTTGAATGAACCCAGAAGATTTAGACAATTGTATCTTTGGGTTTATTTTTGAGTGGCACTGCTCCTGCGAAACTTAAGAAAGCAGAAGGAGGGGAAATGGTGGTACTGTTGAGCAGTTGTAGTAACAAGCATTTAATGAATTTCTTTTTTTGTCTGCCATTATTCTGCGCACCAGATTTGCACTGGATTTAACAGAACATCTCTGTGCAGCTGTTACCAGTATAAGCCCGAGTACTATTGCAGCAAAGTATGTTTTTATTTAAGTATATTTACTGCCTCAACTCCTACTCTGAGATAATTTAATG